ACACGAACATTTTATATGGAGTACGTAAGAACTTAAATTTTTCAAAATTGTGAAGAAAAAATCAATACAAAGTTAAAAACAAATGTTTTTAAAATGACCAAACATTAAAACAGTGGTATATGTGAGAGTTTGTGTGCGTACAAATTATCTGGTATCATTATGTAAACAAGGTTTTCTTTTTATTTTATATATATATATATATATATATATATATATATATATATATATATATATATATATATATATATATATATATATATATATATATATATACTTCATTTTCTTGTTTTTAATCGCGAATCTACGAAAACATCGGTGTCCGTTTTTGGTTTTAACATTCATAACAGAGTACTAGATTAACCGCTTTTTGGCAGGTGCTACTGCTGATTTAGTAATAAATACGCATATTTCCTAAATTTTTATGCATCAATGAATTCATTTAAACAAAGAAATGTTCATGAAAAGTTGGAATAAATTCTGTGCACCGGTAAAAAAGAAATTTCTAAAAATCCAAAATCCGGGACCGTTGGGAGTCGGGCATCGGGAAGACTAGATTTACCGCTTGCCGTCAGTATGTAGAGTTGTCGTTCGTATCTTTCGGTGTTTATATATGACGCTACACTAAAAATGAGTTCCATTACGAAAAACTTTTGAGGTTCTTTATAATTTAGTTTTACTTTGAAAGAAATTTAATATTCAAAATAAGATTACTTTATTATTACATTTACTTACATTTCAAATTATAAGAATTGGATCAATTCAGGAGAAAATGACACGAACTATTTGTGGCGGATGTTTATGCATGTTTTCTGTTGAATATCATCGGAGTAAATTGGTCGACACAGTAGCCTCGCTTTCTGCTCTATATAATCAACACAAATTACTGTGCATGTTAAATGCGTGATGACCATGGGAGATTGAACATAGTTCAACTCCCAAAAATGAGACGACCCAAATCGGGCGGATCAGGAACTGGGTTAGTCACAAGTGCATGAACGTCACCAATTCAATAATCAATCAAATTCAATCATACAATTATTAATCAATCAATTCAAATATCAATCAAGTCAATTACTTCTCAATCAATCAATTATTAATCAATCAATCAATTCAAATATCATTCAAGTCAACTACTTGTCAATTACAATTCAATGCACAAATTCATACCCTGAATTTCAATTTGCCACACATGTGTAATATGATAAATAATGAAATGAGCGTAAGAATATGTGAAGCACTCGTCCAGTTGCGTTGAGGTGCGACAGAATACGCCACTTGAAAGGGCCGTGACCACTCGTCTCTACTTAATGTAATCATGGAACTGCAACCGCCATCAATGGGGTGCCCAGAACCATCGTGACAGCGGCAGTACCTCAACGCAAATGGTCACCGTCGACAAGAGCCTGCTCATTCACCAATACAAACTTACAAATTAAGTGACTACACAAGTTTTAAAAAATGGAGATAAAGACTTTTCCGTTTAAACAGCTTTTATCTAATGTTACAACGCACTTTGACCAAATCAACGCACTTTGAAAAAATAAAATTTCTTTCAAAGTGCGTTGATATCGACAATATCAACGCACTTTGAAAAAAAAATGTGAATGGCTTGGTCAATATTCTTGAAAATCTTAGGTTTGATAAATAATTGAATAATTTCTCCATACTTTGAAAATTCTTTCTCTCTCAAATGTTTTACTGTACTTATTTTTTTCAGTTTGCATGCATTTATTGTAAACTAAAATTTATTGAAAGTTTTCAACGTCACACCAGTTATGCAAATCCATATATTTGGGTGTAGCGTAGGAATCAGTACCGGGAGGAGGAGGTGGTTAGTCAATCAAATGTCTTGCAAAGCTATACATAATAAAGGAATTAAAAATTGGGGCTTACCTTGGTGGGGAAGAGGGGGGGGGGTGTCCACTTTCAATTTGCTACTGAAGTAAAAAAAAGAGTTGGTCTGAGGGACCTTCTATATACTCATCTTCTCCTTGTTCTCGATGAGGGTTTATCAATACATGTAAATTAAAACGCATTTCGAAAGATATAATTATTACAAATTGGTTCTCTCAATTACTAAAATCTAAGTCTAGAATTTTTGTTTTATACACATTTTTTTCAAAATGCGTTAAATGCCCACATGGTAAAAATGTTGATGTACACTCTTAACGCACTTAGAAAAAAATTTTCAAAGTGTGTTGAATGTGTCCCAAATTTTAACGCACTTTGAAAATTTTTTCAAAGTGCGTAATTTTTTCAAAGTGCGTTGCCACAATCTAGTCTCTGTGTTTCCCGTTGGTTTCTTGTATAAATTTCCTAATTATAATAGACTGTCACTCTTTTTATGGCTTTTACATCATAAAAATTCCTTACAAAGTTTTCTTGCATGACAAGTCATAAAGAACGTAGCAAAAAAATAACTATCTTGGCAAGTTTTGTTAATTATAGTTGTCTTTAAAAGGTTTTGTATTCAAACAAGCCCAAAAGGTGTACCCAAATTGGAAAAGAAAACAATACTTACATGTACGTCATCTCTTAACTTAAGGTATTAGGATATGTTTAACTACATAAATGTTTGTCCTAATACATCCCCCTGTACCCAACCCCTAATTTACCTATCTATCAAGAACCTTCTTCACAATTTATGAACCAGCTATCCATTAGTAACAACAAACTTAGAATATAAGTAAAGAATGTAAAAATAAATTTAATAATTTTAATGATGCATATATGATATGCTTTTGAAAGCCAGCTCTTAAAAACTATAATAGCGTCCCCTGTTGCATTTTTTGTCGCCCGCGTGGCGCAGTGGTTGGAGCGTCTGCTCTAGAGTCGCGAAGTAAGGAGTTGATCCTAACGTTGCGGGTTTGAATCCCACTGTGGGATGAGACTGTATAAACCGAGGTCCCGTGTCGCAATAGGTGCTGGCACGAAAAAGATTCCTCCCGGCTCAATGGCCCTAAGTGCCGAGTGTAGGACAAAATTTGCAGCTTTCCACCGGCAAGTAGTGGCGTCTCCATAGGAGTGAAAAATTCTCGAGAGGGACGTTAAACAACATACAATCAATCAATACCTATTTCATTTTGATAGGAAATGTGTACTTGTTGCTTCCTTAATTGAAGTGAGCGAGATATAATATTGTATCCTACAATAATGACATATACCGGGATGTTATATATAATAAATTATCCAATACTGTCTAAACCTGCCCGTAATTTTCATTATAAAGAGGTGAACCAAACGTCCCTTCAACCTCTATATAAATCTTTGATGAGAAGGATATGGAGATAACGAACAGCATTCAATATCAAAGTCCATAAAACAATACAAAGTAGGAGCAGAGAAAACACGGACCTCCGAAACACCAGAGGCGGGGTCAGGTACCATGCATGGAGGAGTGAGCATCCCATGCTGACCGGTCACACCCGCATGGTCGGGAAATAACGGGAAAATCCATCGTCAATTCGGTGTTTAAATAATCGACTAACAATTTGTATGTCAGTCAGCATTTGACTCAATGATAAATTGTATTTGCTGACATCCTGGTATATGGGATATTGTTTTAAATCATAATCATACAAACTCTACCGGTTAAAAATCAATGGCCAAAGGAAAATAGTTAAATATATACTAATTTTGGATCAGACAATATACTCGAGCAATTAAAGCCCGGCTTTCAGTTCTTTCAGTACTTGATTGTGAGATAAATCTACCTTCGTCCAGGCATATTTTTTAAATACTCGTAATATTTTTTCTGTCTTAAATGAGTTAAATTGCCCTTTTGACAAGATGTAATATAAATCTAAAATTAGCTGTAACTTAAATTGCATGCGTGAAAAGAAGAAAACACTTGCTGTGACCTTCAACTCGACATTTAGATATATCGACGACGTATTGTCAATTAACAATGGTAATTTCCATTCCTACGTCGATAAGATATATCCTGGTAAGCTTGAGATAAATGATACCACCGAGTCTGACACATCTGTTTTGATACCTGGATATTTTACTTGAAAATGACGTTAATGGTTATCTTACAACCAAGCTAAATGATAAATGTGATGACTTTAACTTTTCTTTTGTCAACTTCATTTACTTATGCAGCAATATACCTTCATCACCTGCATACGGAGTGTATATATTTCAGTTAATTCGGTACGCAAGAGCATGCTCTACGTATGAACAATTTCTAAAACAAGGTAAATTATTGACAAGCAAGTTGATGAAACAAGAATGTCAGCAGTCTCGTATTAAGTTATCATTTCGTAAGCTCTATGGTCGATACAATGACCTTGTCAGCAAATACAATTTATCATTGAGTCAAATGCTGAATGACGTTTTTCATACTAATTGTTAGTCCATTATTTATACACTGAATTGACGACAGATTTTCCCGTTATTTCCCGATCATGAAAAGGAGCACACAGCGGGTGGGACCGATCAGCAAGGGATGCTCACTCCTCCATGGCACTTGATCCAACCTCTGATTTTTCGGAGTTCCGAGTTTTCTCTGCTCCTATTTTGTATTGTTTTATGGACTTTGATATTGAATTTAGTTTGTGTTCTCCGTGTATTTTTTGTGTAAAAAATGTAATTTTAATTGTCATATACATTGTAATTTTGAGAAGCAGAAAAGAAAATATTTTCGCACGACACTATTCCGCCCAAAATATTGCCCGGCTAATTTCAAACACAGTTTACCATTTGTATTTAAAGTTGTATGATTCCTGATTTTAATGCTAGTTATCCTTATCCTAATCTGATTCTTATCCTGATGCTACTTTGCTTGTTCGAACCTTTCTAAAAAATACAATGTATAAGCAGATATTAAACTCTTACGTCTAAGTATATAAGACATATAAGCAAATATTAGTTCAATGTGAACTACGTGTACTGATCGCCCCTCGCACAGGTCCATTTATGAACTAAGTTTACTGTGAGAATGAAAAACACGGATGTGGTGTACACAATGTAAGTAACTGGAATTTAACAGGCTGTAGGTTTACGCTTCCTGTTACATTGACTTACAGAGGTTAACGATTTGATGCTTCCTGTTATTGTGAAATTTACTTATTCTTGCCAGATCTACAATACTTAGATACCCTCCTCACCTTAAAACCAGAATGTCTGCTTTGCAGGAACGTTCAAATATTTCTATGATGCCTTACACGCTTGGTATTTTGCTGTTGGTGTTTTGGCTGTCAGTTGTTCGATCTGACGATAGAGGTAAGTTTATTTATCCAAAAAGATTCTATTTGGAAAAAAATACACTTGATAGTTTATTAAAGTACTGTAATTTTTATCATACTCACTAATGTTTATCTTGTTTTTCGACGGCGTATTAGTGTCATTTAAATTTTGCAGAAAAAAATAACTTGAATCATTTGTACAATGTAGAAATTCGTTTGTGCGATTTTTAAAATCGTTTGATTGAATTTTTTATCGTTTGAATGATTTAGAAATTCATATGTGCAATTTTTAAAATCGATTTAACGATTAAGAAATTCGTTTGTATGATTTTTTTTTTTAAAAAAAAACGTTTCAGCGACTTAAAAAAATGGTTTGAACGATGTAAAAATATGTTTATACGATTTCACAATACTTGATTATTTTTTAACCTTATTAATTATTTTTTAAATAATGTCTTATTTAGAACTGAAATGTCGTACATTATCATTGAACATAAGTCTTATCTTTATGTCTTGTTATTCTTTTTCTCTAGTTTAAGAGTGAGACTTTCATCGAAAGGCAGGCTGCTCCTCCTCACCTTTTATTTCAGAAGGGTCAAACTGTAGCACGTTTCTGTACATGTACTATCAAAACATTTTATTAGATTAGTGTTGTTTCCCTATCCCCTCCAAAATATGATGATTACGTTTAGTCACGTCTCCTTTTTTTCGTTTTGATTTTTTTTTTATTGTTGTGGGGGAAAGCTTTCTCTGTCTGCTTGTCCATTTAAGTTTCTGCCTGCCACCCCCTCTTTCCACTTCAAAAACTAGGCTTCATGTCTGGAGTCTAAAGTTAATGTTTTGAATGCATTTTTAAGAGAAGAATGAATTACTACACTAAAAAATGTTGCATAAGTAAAGAGCAAACGGTTTTTTGCCAAATTATCAATTCTGTTATATTTTCAGGACTTTTTCCTGCTCTCTTTTTTTGTATTAGTAAGCTTTGGTAATTGTGTCGTTGTTAGAGCGTATTTTTGTTACGGCAAAAAAGTGCAAGTATTGACAATGATACAAAAAAAAATTGAAATAACCAAAAAAATATCGAACTATGAATTGTTTCACTCAGGTCGTGTGAGAACTGCAAATTCATTTGCATATAAATGTATTTCTCTTGTTTTTGTAAATTGTACAAAGTTAATGATTATCTTAGTCGAAATATACATTTTTCCAAAAATCGTATAAATTTCTACATCGTTTAAAGGGACATAGACACAGATTTGAAGATAAAATTTTCTCAATTTTTCTGTAGAATGCCATGACGTATAAGTTGGTATAGACATTTACACGGAAATATGGCTAAAAGACTGCTTTATCTAGAAATTATTGAAACTACAAATTTTAGGACGCGTTTGATTGATACATCATTGCACTTTCACAAAAATAAACTTTATCCTTAATACTAAAGAAAAGTAGGGGTTTTGTTGTGGACTTATGAAAAATATTAAAATTATAATCCTGAAAAGTCATAGTAGAAATGTAATATAGTAAAACTAACTCACCAGTATTGTCAGTCCGTTCTTAGTTATGTGCGCAGAGTTTAACTTGTTTAATTGAACACACCCAGTGAAACGGTAATAGTAACAATAACAGAGCTCGTGTCCTGTTTACCGTTTACAAAACAGTTAATTCATTTTGTTAAACATTGCACACATCGCTGAGCACGGACTGACAATACTGGTGAGTGGGTTTTGCTTATCACATTTCTACTCAGGTTTTTTAAAATCATAGTGTTAATATTTTTCATAAATACACAACAAAACTTCTACTGATCTGAGGCATTAAGGATAAAGTTGATTTGGTGAAAATGCAAGAAGATGTCTATCAAACTCGTTCCGAGTTTCAATAATTTACAGATGAAATACGATTTTTATTATGTTCCCATGTGATATGCCACACCAAGATAAAAATCATGATATTGTTCTGAAAATTTGAGAAAATATTAACATAAAAATTCTATGCATCTATCTATTCTATTATTTAAACGATTTTAATCTTACAAACGATTTTCTTAATTGTACATGCAATTTTCTAAATCGTAAAAGCGAAATTCTAAATCGTTCAAAACAAATTTCTAAATCATTCAAATACTTTATGAAATCAAACAAATGAGTTTCTAAATCGAGCTAATGATTGTATTTATTCATTCCGCAAAATTGAAATTTAGCTGTCATAATTTTAATATGGAAATGTGACAAATATTCACAATATTCCTTAAACATTTATTGCTTTAGACGAAGAATATGAAATAAAAACTCTATAAATGCTCTTGTATTAAAATAATACCAACCGAAATGTTCTCGAAAGTGTACAGTGCAATAAAAGATATATGATCTTTTCCAAATAGAATTGTTATGGCAGGTCTTTTACATATATGAACCGTTTATTTGTTGTAAGGTGTATACTATGACACTTTCCCAAGAAATTGGCAGGATTCTTCAAGAAATTGTCAGCAATTGGGAGCTTGGGAAAATACCGATTTCAGCATTGAAGGATTCAGGGTACCAGCCCGACCGTCCGGTTTCCCTCGGGATCAGTTTTTCTGGATCGGGGCAGATGTTCATCAAACGCCATGGTTTACACTTTTGGGTAGTAGTTATTGGATATAAAGACATCTGAAATAAACATACACATACAATGTCTGTTCCTCTTTTTTTCATTTTCAATTCAAAATTTTTCGTTTTTAAAACATTTAATCACCAAAGATATAGATGTTTTTAATTACTTTTAAAATTGCTTGCAATATTTTTCATTGATTGAATAATATTATGAAATAAACTCTAAAATTTCTCTATGAAAAAATGAGTTGACGGTTGAATAATAAAAAAAAACACAAATTAAATGAAAGGATTTCTACGTTTTTCGTAAACAAATCTCCTTACTGTAATAATTGTAATTTAAAAGAAATATTTTTTGCCGATTAAACCTTTTTAAAAGTAGTTATGAATTTCAAGAAGCAGGTTTTATTGTAATCAAAGTATCACGAAGATATGTGTTTGACTCTTACCATAAGAATAATTTTGAATTCCATATTGAAGGTTGCTTCGAGACCAATGACGCTGACGAAGCAATTGAATTAAAGAAGATTGCTCATCATGGAAAACCCACATTTGACTGCTACGCTTACTGTGCTTCCTACGATGATGTAACGACAATAGGCATATCGGTAAGATACTTGAAATAAGAATGTTGAATCTTTTTGGTGCTAGTTAATGGTTTCTTTATTTATTTGTCTAAACTCTCCCCAAGGACTACAAAATGAAGAGCCATCAATATAAATGCAAAACTTGATCATCTCATGAAACCGCAGAGTCATCTTATAATAACGATTAAATTATTTCGATATAACAAGAAGAAAAAAAATTTTTATTTGGAGAAACTTTCTTGTAATTTAGAGAATTACAAGATTGTCTTGTTGAGGGTAGTGGAGGTCGAATTATTAAGAGAAATTCTTCTCTTGGAATAGTCTTCTCTCTCAACTACGAGAAAAAAATTCTCGTTATCGCAAGATAATTCTCTCATTATTCACTCAATATAATGAAATTTTTTTCTCTTCGTATAAAGTCTGTCACCGTATAGGGGCAAAGAACTGCAATGCTAGACCTTTACTGAAACACTCTGGGGCTTTGGGTGGGCAGTGAGAGTGCTTTATTGCTTTGTAATTGGACAATTACTTCCTAGTTTTCTTATCGACTTAGATCAGTCGCAGCCATACGTGGTTCGAACCCATGAAATCGAACTTTGTTAGGTACAAATTCTCTTTACCCTACCTCAACCGGGGCAGGATCTTAAAAGAATTATTCCATGATTCTGGTATGTCTCCCAGCCAAATTCTTTGGTAATTGTTTTTATAAATGGATTTCATTAAATAGATGACAAGATTTTTACACTTAACATGTTTTCTGTTGTGAAATTTGGAAACAAACAGAGCAGCTATGTTGCCTTGGTCTTCCAGTAAAGTTTTAACATAAAATTATATATGGTCTCGTATTCAGAAAAAAATCTATAGCTTGAGAGTTAAACTCGGTACATTTCTTTTTATACTCAGAAACCAAGCTCAATTGGTTATGGAAGCTGTTGAAAGTTAATAGGTGTTTAAAAATAACTACATAACATTTTTTTGTGTCGTACTCTCTTTTTAAATAAATTAAAGACTACTATACTGTATATGTAATAATTATAAGGTAGCTACTAAAATGTGCTGAAGCATTTATATTGAATAATTATTTAATAAAAGGTGAAGTCACATAACTTGCAACGCAAGAAAAATGAGTAGCGCGTTATAAAACTTTGTTTACACACAGTTACAGTTATTCAGTGCTTCTATCTACATTGTTTGAACTCATTTTTTACATTGTAATTAATATAAAATGGAAGGCCCATTAATTGCTACAGCCTCTGTTCAATATGAGAGAGAATTTTGATTTTCACTTAAATGTATGTCCTTGGACCTAATGTTACGGCGTTAGCATGTTATACAAAAATTGATATTTTAAAACACACACTTTAAAAGCAAAATACATTCACAAAGTAGTGTTTACATTTACAAACAATATTTACATTCGCTAATGTTTTCAATCATATATCACTTTTAAGCAACCTTTTTACTATTGGTCATAAATGAATTGACGTCATAAAGAGTAGACGTGCATTCAATGGATCAAACTTTTGCCGTTGAGATTTGAAAAGAAAAAGATTGCATAAGTTAGAGTTGACAATTACGCATAATTAGAAACCAATCAAAAATGTGCAATAAAATACATTTGGGAAGTCAATGTTTTGCATAAAAAAATAATTACAGGCATTTAAAACAGGGGTATGTAGTCGTAGCTAGCCCTCCATTCTTTAAAAGTAACGGGTATCAGTTTTATTGATTTTAGGAAATGGCGCGCTACTCGTTCATTAACCCTTACCTTTATTGGTTTTAGTAAATATGAACCATAACATTGCTTATTAATAACAAAAAATTCGTGGTCGACTTCTAACGTCGTCAGTAAAACACATGAAAAACAACAATCAAATTCAAAACTACTGTAACAATCATTTTAAAATCATTTTAAAAAATGCATCAAAACAAATAAAATTAACATGTTTATTACTATGTGTAGCAAAAAAGAAACAGATAAAATATAATTTGAAGACAAACGCAGGGTGCTCTCCGTTTATGGTGATGGGGTTTGGGTACTAGGTAATAACCCTTGATTAATACTTAAGCGTCACACTACCCCAGTAAAAGAAGGATATGGAGACAATTACCGAATAGTATTCAATATCAAAGTCCATAAATCAATACAAAATAGGAGCAGAGCAAACACGGACCTCCAAAACATTAGAGGTGGGATCAGGTGCCATGGAGGAGTGAACATCTCCTGCTGACCGGTTACACCCGCTATGTGCCTCTCGTCATGATCGTGAAATAACGGAAAAATCCGTCGTCAATTCAAGGTATAAATAATGGATTAACAATTCGTTTGAAAAACGTCAGTCAGCATTTGACTCAATGAAAATTGTATTGCCCAACAAGGTCATCTTCAGCGTGATATCATATTTTCCCTCTGGATAGTCTGAAAAATAGGAAAGACCTCGGAAAAATAGAAACTTTCCACATTTCGCTGTGACATAATTTACCTATACATGTATATATAATATACTGTTTTATAATTTGAATAGAAGGTGGCATGTTACTGCTATACCGATGTAGAGAAACACCGCAAGGCAAAGGAACAGTGCGAGTATGAGACTTTTCCAGAGTACCCCGGTGAACTGTTTGGTGGACCTAATGGGGGAAGTGTGGTGGTGTACAAATACAACACACACAGTCCAGCGACATATAGTAAGTAGTTAGTTAGACATACATTTACTTTTTTTCTAAATTCTATGAATTGTTGAGTGAAAAAATATAGTAAAGATAGTATAGTCCAGCATAGAACTTAATTTTCATATAGAATACAAAACCTGTAACTACTAAGAAAGATTTCCGTATATTTTCACTGGCTTTTCTTCGAAGTCTTTTTTTTTTTTTTTGATTAATATAGAAAAAACGGCAAATACATGTATATTGTCTGGAATATAATTATTAAGAGATGGAAAAAACGGAAGCGCAATAGTTCGACCAAAATAAGTTTCAAGAAAATTAATAAACAAGATTATTAATAAAAAACGAAAATATTTAATAAAAACACGATTATTTAAATAAAAAAACGAAAATATTAATTGAAAATGATATTTTAAAAAACATAATTATTAAATTAAAAACGGTAATATTATATTAAAACTGAAACTAAAAAACGGAGTTTAGATGTGTATGGTAAGGGTGTGTACCCTTGGATCATTCCAGCAGGCGCAGGTTTTATTTAAAGAATAAGGGGTCAGTTTAAAAAGTTCATTGGGATATAAATACAGATTGGTCATGTGCAATCCAATTAATCCCGATGGGCTTTATGGTAAATTTGATAACATGCAAAAACCCGTATTCACATCGCGATAAAATTTTTTCAAGTAATACCTTATCACTTTTATTTACATTTGGGACTGATTTCTTACAAATATAGTAAGGTCCCAAAGTTTTCAACCCATTAATGATTTATTTGTTTTCAAAATTCAACGGTAAAGTTTGAATGAGTTGAAAACGTTGATTACTTATGAAGTCACTTTGAAATTATGTAGATCGTTTATAACTAAACAACCAAAATATGGTCGACATGGAGTAGACAATCACAAAGGGGGCCGTTGGTTACACTGTATCTAAGATGTTAGATCTATGTTTTGATCTTACATTAATGGGAAATTACCAGTTTGCTGAATAGGCCAGTAATTCTAGAGAATAAGTGGAAAGTTAACATTAGCTTTTTTTTAGCCCAGTTTTTGCGCTCTGCTTTTGCAGCTGCCTTTTAAAGGTCTTCCGTTTCCAACGGAAGACCTACTGATTCTGTTGGTAAAGATATTTTTCTTCTACTTCCTAGACGCCAACTTTGAAGCCTCATATCTCACTCATTTCTCAATTGATTTCGCTCAAATTTTCAGAGGTACTAGAAGTTACTCAACTCTATCAGAATGCTATCAAAAATTTCAAAAAGCCACTTCCGGTTTTGAGTTATTACCCTTTAAACAAAATTTTATAGGCTTTAGTTTCCAGACAAAGGCTCAGAGACGGCTAAAGCTGGAGAAGAAATTCTACTGATTTAAGATAATAGAAGGATTGAATTGTGCACATCGGTTTTTGTTTTTCGATTTCTCTATTCAAAATGGCGCTATATAGGGGTAAAAAAAATTAGAACGCTTAGAAGAGCCAAAAATTACTCATATTTTGCTTTTTATCTTCTAAACTAAAAATAATTTGTTAAAAGATATAGAACATAATTTGTGCAAAATTAAAAGATCTTTCGAATGATATCTCGAAAAAAGGGCTGATCCCTTAATTAAGGGATCTAGAGGGGCCAAAAGTTTTTTCCAGATATCACAAAAAGTATTGAAAATTTGTTATACATCAAAGAAACAAAGTTGTTGAAAATCTCTGCTAAAATCTACTGATGTCATCAAAATACGTCCTGTGACGTCACTTCCGGCCAAACCGGAAGTAGTCCGAAACTGCATATTTTTGCCGTTTTTGACATGTTTTGGGGAAATATTTGTCACTAAAACTTAATTTTTCGTCCGTCGACGTCACTTCCGGTCAAACAGGGAGTAGCAAAAAATGGCTTACCTTACTTTTGCAACATTCAACATAGATTTGGAATATTTAAATCATTAGAGACGTCATTTTTTCCTTTTTTTTTTTAAGAAAAGTTACTTCCGGTCAAACAGGACGGAAGACCTACTCGTTGCTTTGCATCGATTTTTTCTCTAGTTTACCTCTATTTTACTCTGCAAAGCTGACAGAGTTTAAACCAGCTGCTTACCTTGCCTGCTCTCACATTTTAGCCATATAGTTTCCTATCGGAATGTTCAGTTACGTCTGCTTTGCAGACTGAAATGTTCTAAAGTGTCTGTTTGCAGACATGCAGTGCAAACCCTTGTTTACACGCTCTTCTTTTGCAGCTCTACTTCAAAACAGCTGCAAAAGCAGAGCGTGTAAAATGGACTTTAAGCCCTCAGCTCAGAAGGTCCAATGACTCTGGACATGAAATATCTAAGAGAATAAATTGCCCCAAAATTTAAAATATTGATGTCCGTCTGTTGTTTACAATTGCTGATCTTTAAAACATTAAGGACATTCCCATGGCTATTCATCAATTTCAATTATCACACAGCACAATAAAGCTGTTATCGATCGAATTTTGCTGTGTTTTGCAAGAGAGCAAGTGCAAAAACTGAACAACAATGACTAGGTTTTAATGATTGCTTACTTTATTTGAAATTAAGCAAACACTTCTCATACTTGGTCATTTTATCAAAGTTTATTTTTAAGTTATGTACCAACCAATTGTTCTCACATATTCTTAATCTGTATAAATTTATATTGTGAACAAACAATGCAAACATTGCATAAAGTTCCCACATAGTATAAGTTAAGCCGAAAAGAATGATAAAATATACTCTTAATTTTTTTTTCAGCCCATGATTTTGGTAATTGCGCTGGTGTGAGATATCTAGGGACATTTCCTATACCTCATCAGTTTTCTTCCTGTCTGAACAGAATTGGGTATATATGTGCAAGTATGAAAAATAGAATCTTCATGTATTACGTATTATCATATAATAAACGTGAAAAGTAATTATACGCTTTCCTTATAAATAAAACATTGTTCTTTCCAGCGTAAATTGTTAAAACCAAATAGGCATTGATTTTGTTTTCCTAGAAATCTTAACGGTGTTCTTAATCGTTATTTTGTTACAGATGGCCAAGTATCAACTGCAGAGGTTACCTGGACTGAGGCTGTCAAACGGTGTGGTACTTTGAAGACTGACGTCATTGGTCATTATACAGACTTGACTGATTCCGTTAAATATCGTCCATTGTGGACAGGGTTCTACAGACAAAGCTATGAATACTGGAGTCCTCCTGGTATGTATGCATTAATGATTAAAGCTTTTGTTTCTTCGTTGATGGAGGTAAAATCCAACATTTAGTTTTCTTCATGTTTATTTTATTCAACCACATTACACCATGACTTTCATATTTTCGAATTCATGTAAAGTTACATATATTTGTGGGAGAAATTTCCGAGGTTAGAGAAAAAAGATTGATATGTGGGGATTTGATTTCGTGGTTGGAGAAATGTTGAGTAGTAATGAATATTAAATTTTACATTTCGTGGTGGTAATCAATTCTTAGGTCTCTCCATACCTCAAAAACAACGAAAATTAATCTCCGCGGAAAGTGATTTCACAGTAATCTTTAAAAAAAAAATCCGCATGACTCTGACTTTTTGTCTCAACAGTGAATTTTATTTGATATTTATTAAGATTTGATGAAATTGTTCCCTTTATTTCCGGAGGGTGTGGATCTAGAGGGGAATCCATCAGAACCTGATGGAATATACATAATTATAATTTTTAGCTAACGAACGTTTAGAATGAACTTGGATTCCTCTTTTGAAAAACGGACCCCTCAAAAGTAAAAGATTAGATAGGTCTCTTTGGAAAAATTGACTAAGACAATAGTATCAAATAAAAAACTCTATTGTTTGCATTTTACCTACATGTATAATGACTTTTAAACGCAAAGTTAACTTGCGTTTAATACCAAAATTTGTGATTTAGAAAAATATTTGTTGAAGCAATTTTTTTTTTTTTTTTAGATATAATCTCCGATTTTAGAGTTGGTTTGGTGATCTGAAGGTCTTGGTTTCAAGCTAAATCAATTAAAATGAAAATTTCTCATAACCCTATCAGAACGAAAAACAAAAATCAATTACAGAACATCTGAACGATTCTAAATTAAAAAATCATTCAAATGTTAAATAAAATATATCAATGACATATAAATTCCTACATGTATACATATCATGTTTCTGCTTGAAAGGTGAAAACGTAGGAAACAACCCAGAACGGAAACATTGCATAGCAGTTAAAGTAAATGAAGATGGAACACTTTATCCAGTCACCTATCCTCAAATTTGTTCAAAAACATTGCCTTCCTTATGCGAAAGGTCTACAAAAGGTGACATTTTAATAACCTTTAAAAAGCTCTGATAACTTTTTAAAAACTCTGATATCTAAATTAAACAATCAAAGATAAAAATATATGTACAATGGAAAAAATAATTTTAAAAAAAGGAGCTTAATTACATTCTATTTTAATCTAAAGTAATTTATATTAAAAAAGGGTATAAACAGTATTAATGATTGCAGTTTGATAAACATATAAAGATATTTAGTTCATTTTTAGTTTATTATTTTTGTTTAGTTGATGGTGGATGGACAGATTGGTCTGAATGGAGCGAATGTAATAACGAAAATGGAGAGTGGAAAAGATCGAAAACTCGCACATGCACCAATCCTTTACCACAACATGGCGGAAAAGATTGCGAGGGAGAAGAAATGATAGAGGAATCTTGTATTCCACCTACTCCAGCCCCAAGTCCACGTAACTTTTTTATTTTATTTTTGGATTCTGAATGTACGAGATAAAATCATAAATTACAGATTTAAATACTTGTATACATGTAACAACAGTCTTTTTATAATTTAATATTTACATTTGCTTTGTTTTTCTTCTAAGTCAACTGCCCCACTTAACACAAGAACTTCTAAACCTGCCGTAATGAATTTGACATTTTGGATGGGGGGAGAATTCTTTTTAAATCTTTCCATTAGCCATTGCTTGCAATTGATACCCATGAGTAAAGAAGAGGGTTTTTTCTGATTGATTGAATTTGAGAGATTTAAGCCACATGCAATCTAAAACCCCCTCCCCTTTCAACAGATACAGACACTATGAAACCAACTTTTGTGCCCTTTTATACCCTTGGTTTCTATTAGTACAAAGAATAAGTCTCAATAAGCCATTATCTGTGGTCCTCGGTTACTCGTCAAAATTTCAAACTTTAATTTCATTAAAAACCTTAAAAAGTAAAATTATATTATTTTCTTATGTCTGTAGTATTTGCACAAACATTTGAAAATATCAAATAATTGCAAAAAAAACAACGCGCGAAGCTGCGTTTTGAAGGTGGGGTCCTTTGATTTTTATGAATATCAAAAGAAATTTCTGACGGGTACCCACTTCACACCTTTCGTTAACATCGAGCGGAGGTTTGTTCAAAGTCGAGATCAAAATATATTGTGTATATTATATGTATACAGACTGTGTGAAAATATCTTTGTCGAACAACCTTGCGCTCTATGTTTTCTACTTAAAAGTATCATGATTTTGAATCTGTTCGGCGAGTACATTTACATAGGATTAACCTCTTTTTGACCTGCTAAGAATAGATAATATGTCACGTGATTCCATACCGTCACAGGTGAATACCTTCGGAACGCGGGTTTTCCTGTAGGAAGCGACACATGTAGCTTGTATTTGAAAAGTGCAGTCACCAGCTTTCATTTTCATTTACAGAATCTCTATAGACTTCGATGAATATCAGTTATGTTAAACTTTGATGATTTTCCGGGACATATTTTAATTCCCATGCATGTAATCGCAAATTTCCTCGGCATTGCAAACAACACACGAATCAATATACGAGTAGATGTATATAAATACACATTTAATCAATTTCTTGCAAAAAGAAACAAACAAGCAAAAAATACCAAAGACGTAGCAATTGCTTCAGATTTAATCAATCTAAACGAATGCACTGTATTGACCACTGCAATATTCAAAGCAACCTTACACTCTTGCCACGTTTTGGGGTGCATATAAACTCAGAACATCTTCGAATGTACTAATGCAACGAAGAAGATGATTATTGAGTTTAAATATTATATACTAATCTTTTGATATTTAAAATAAGAAAGAATCTTTGTTAAGCCATTATTCCATCAACTGTTTTTGAAGTATTTGTACACATGCATATTACATGTATTTGTACACGTCATGTATTAAGACCGCGGAACATTAACTGGCAAAATTGGAAATGTACAGCTTACGTCATTTCTATATGTTACAATCAAAACATTCAGTGATAGACAACGAAATGGGCAGGTACAATTCGACGCGGACGTTTGGAAAACATCGGATTGAAATAGCAGATCGAAATTCATTTTCAATCCACCTGAGCTGTTTTCAAAGCAAAGAGTGAATGTATGATACAAAAATCAATTATATTTCAACTCACAAATACATATTGTTTGAAGTTCACATAATTTTGAGAACGCGAAATATCATACAAGACAAAGATTATTTTTCAGGAGATATTTGATTCTAGAAGGGGGGGATAAAAAATTATCGAGTCAGGTCATGGCTTAATGGAGTTTTATGAAGAGACTTACTTTTACATTTGACAGCTGACTTTTACATTTTAGTGATTGGAGTTTGTCTATGTTAAAATTGTAAAAGTCAGTCGTCAATTGTAAAAGTAAGTCTCTTCACAAAACTCCAATATGACAATATATTTTATTTCTAGGATTATAAGAGTGCATGAGTTTTATACTTATTCTCACTGAAAACTGTTGGACAACTTTATTCAAAAATCGTTCAAACCCCAACCCCCCCCCCCACCAACACAAAGATATTCATATATTTACCAAACAGAAATGAAATATTTCTCCCTTAAATATTTATTCATTTCATACACTGGACAAAAAAAATTCAAACTGAACCAAAATTGAAATTATTTGTCTTCTGGGTCAATCAGTGGTAATGTGCCTTCTAACGTAGCTGAGGTGGATTGAAAATGAATTTCGATCTGCAATTTCAATCCGATGTTTTCCACCCGTCCGCGTCGAATTGTACCCGCCCATTTCATTTTCTATCACTGAATGTTTTGATTGTAACAGATAGAAATGACGTAAGCTGTATATTTCCAATTTTGCCAGTTAATGTTCCGCGGTCTCAATCAATAATCGATGAGCAAATCAGAATATTAATTGCAGAATTTTGAGCGATATTAAGAAATAAATGTACATGTCAGGCAGGTAGTATCAGGGAAGATGTTACTCCTTCTTTTCAGAGATAAATCTTGATTTTTTCACACACACCCCCCAAATATTAATTTTTCATATCAAAATGAGTACTGTAAACAGGGCTATTTTCGCCCCGTGTTATTTTCGCTTTTTCACGCAAACAATTTTGCCCCGTTTTGATTTCGCCCAATCACAGTTTTGTTTAATAAATCATACTTTTTTTTGAATTCACCCCGTCTTAAATTCGCTCACTTGTGTCTAGTCTAGGGCGAAAGAGGCGCAAATAAAACGGGGGCGAAAGTTCCCCTGTCTACAGTAATAGTTTGACTCCCACTCCTACATAATCGATTTTTTTCTAGTTTGGAATCGAAGGGTTTCCTCTTTTTCAATCAAACTTTTGTTTAGGTTATCTATATAGATATTTCCTTGTTTATTTTGTCTCAGTTACCTATTTACAAAAGAAAGGGAGTGTATTTCTGTTTGTATTTGCCTTAAGTTATTATTCGGTCACTTTTTCTTTTTGAATTATCATATAAAAGAAAATATAGTATTTAAAATATTTTGACATTTTATTCAACAATGATAGATTAAAAGAAATTAACGTGATTAGGGGAGCCAAAAATACTCCAAGAACAAAAATAAGACCTCTTACCCACCCCCAAGAATACGATAAATGCAAAATAGAATTCAAGCTTATTAACATCGTACATAATGTTAATTATTTCTTATCTCACGCTAACGCTCACTATGTCTTCCTTTATATAGTACCTAATTTAAATGTCTCCGCCCATTTGTATGTAATAGAGAAACCGCACTCTTTTCGAAAGATATATCAAAACGGGTATTAACAGTATTATTAATGATTGCAGTTTATTAAACATATTAAGATTTTAAGTTCATTTTTAGTTAATTATTTTTATTTAGTTGATGGTGGATGGACAGATTGGTCTGAATGGAGCGAATGTAATAACGAAAAGGGAGGGTGGAAAAGATCGAAAACTCGCACATGCACCAATCCTTCTCCACAACATGGCGGAAAAGATTGCGAGGGAGAAGAAATGATAGAGGAATCTTGTATTCCACCTACTCCAGCCCCAAGTCCACGTAACTTTTTTATTTTATTTGTGGATTCTCAATGTACGAGAGAAAATCATAAATTACAGTTTTAAATCCTAATATACATGTAACAACCGTCTTTTTATACTTTTACATTTGCCTTGTTTTCTTCTAAGTCAACTGCCCCACTTAACACAAGAACCTCTAAACCTGCCGTAATGAATTTGACATTTTGGATGAGGGGTGAATTCTTATTAAATCTTTCCATTAGCCATTGCTTGCAATTGATACCCATGAGTAAAGAAAGCGTTTTTCTGAATGCAATGAATTTGAGAGATTTTTAGCCACATGCAAAGTGAAACCCCCTCCCCCTTCAACAGAAACAGACACTATGAAAATCAACTTTTGTTCCCTTTTATACCCTTGAATGCTCAACACGTCTTCCTTTATAGAGTACCTAATATAAATGCCCATTTGTATGTAATAGAGAAACGACACTCTTTTCGAAAGATATATCAAAACGGGTATTAATAGTATTAATGATTGCAGTTTAATAAACATATTTAGATATTAAGTTCATTTTTAGTTAATTATTTTTGTTTAGTTGATGGTGGATGGACAGATTGGTCTGAATGGAGCGAATGTAATAACGAAAATGGAGAGTGGAAAAGATCTAAATCTCGCACATGTACCAATCCTTCTCCACAACATGGAGGAAAAGATTGCGAGGGAGAAGAAATGATAAAGGAATCTTGTATTCCACCTACTCCAGCCCCAAGTCCACGTAACGTTTTTATTTTATATTTGGATTCTGAACCCCGAGATAAAATTATAAATTACAGTTTTAAATACTGTTATAATGTAACAACCGCCTTTTTATACTTTAATATTTACATTTGCCTTGTTTTCTTCTAAGTCAACTGCCCCACTTAACACAAGAACCTCTAAACCTGCCGTAATAAATTTTACAGTTTGGATGAGGGATGAATTTTTGTTAAATCTTTCCATTAGCCATTGCATGCAGTTGATACCATAAGTAAAGGAGAGGGTTTTTTATGATTGCACTGAATTTGATAGATTTTAAGCCACATGCAACGTGAAACCCCCCTCCCCCTTCAACAGAAACAGACACTATGAAAATCATCTTTTGTTCCCTTTTATACCCTTGAATGCTATTAGTACAAATTGACAGACATAACAAACATGTTTATAAGCACGACGAATAACGACGGACAAAATATAGACAATGGTTTCCAGATTAACTCAGTTGTCCTAATAAAAACAGAAAGAGAATTTTTATCAGATGTTTTTAAATTACGAAAAGTAGAAATTGTGGTGGTTTTTTATACTATATAAAATGTAGCTGCAGAACTGTAGCTCTCTGCTTGAGAAAATTCGGACCGATAAAGCAGAGAACTACAGATCCAAGCGTTGTAAAAACCTTCGATTGACGCCGCCGATTTGTTTGTCGCTCCTTTCAGGTATTTTCTCTTGTATTTTATGTTTTTTGACGCTCTTAGAATGAAACCCCATTATTCATCATATATTACTCCAATTATTGATACTTTATTAACCTTTCAATGGTCCGAAACAGCCCACTCTGGATTTTGAATTGCGGTTCATCGATTCCCATTTTTACATCACGTCCACAAACGGATATTCTTGAACGCTGCATTTCATTTCCGGAAATATGCATAGCATTTCCGACATTTTTTTTTTAATTTCATTTCCGACATTTTTTGTTTTCATTTCCGACATAATTTTGTTTTCATTTCCGGAATTTACCTGTGCGCCAATTCAATGTTTTCTAAGTAAGAAAAAATGGAATTTTAAAAGTATTTATTACAAAATATTAAAACTTTTTTTAAAAATAAAATAAAACATCTACACATATATCTGCATACATATAGCACTATGTCTAGGTAAAAGAGTTCAATGAACTTTAATTTTTCACCACACCTAAAATGTACTAAATTAAATGCCAGTGACAGCTCCACACTTATGTTCAAGTCATTGATAGATTTACAAATCGCAGATAATGGATTTCAATGATTTATTTATGATTTATTCCTTAAAATTTTTCATAAGTAATGTTATTAAATCTGTTACTATAGGTACTAAATATGTATTTGAAAAATGTCGGAAATGAAAACAAAAAAATGTCGGAAATGAAAAATAAAAAAATGTCGGAAATGAAAAGTTGATAATTACCAAAAATTCCGGAAATGAAATGCAGCCTTCTTGAACTGTTGAAAGTTAAATAAACATTTAGGAATAGGTGTGAAATATATGGTTAATTAATATATAGGATATCATTTATAAAGCTGGGGAAACATAAAATATAAGAAATAATACCCCAATTCAATTCAATTCAATTTATTCTCTCAAAACCATGTAAATGGTACATGAGGTACAAAAACATATAAAACATATATACATATAATACAGTGGGTCAAGCAGAAGGTGATAATTAAGGAGAACAGACAATACTATTAATTTTAGAAATAAATGTACATAATTGTTTCAAAGAATCAACATCATTTTGGCACATGATTTCACGAAACTTGATGATATTTGGATTGGAACAAAATTTTTGGTTCAAATAAACTTTTCTTAGTTGGTTTAAAGCACTACATTCTAAAATATAATGATACTCATCTCATATCTGGTTACTACTGCATAAGCTACAAACTCTTTCATTTCTTTGAGTACCATTCCATCTACCTGTTTCAATTGGGAGGTGGTGATTTGTGGTTCTAAACTTAACAAAAATTTTCTAAATTTAAATGATAACAGTGTTAAATATTTTTCGCACTCAAAATTGGTTTTAAAATTTCTATAATTCAAACTTTTTGAAGATTCTTGAACTTCACTATTCCACTTTTGAATATATTGATCTTTTAATCTTTGTTTTACTGTAGCAGTTATCCATTCTACATTATAAAAATAATTTTCGTGCTCATACCATATATTTGATAAACCACATCTGTCAAAAATCTTTTGTACAAATGATATCCATGAATTTTTCATTTCCTCTTGTTGTTTACGTAAATTCATATATACTATTCTACACAATTTGTTTTCTTTTCCCTTCACAAGGTTTGCCCAATATTTTATCATTCTTGAGTAAATATTTATGTGTAATGGAAACCTACCAGTTTCTCCATAAATCATATAACCCGGAGTGCTACTTTTCAAATTCAATATATGTTTTAAATAACGTAAATGTACTCGTTCAATAATATCGATATTTTCATACCCCCATATTTCACAGCCATATAACAATACTGGTAAAACTACTTTATCAAACAAATCTAATTGACATTCGAAGGGGAGATTAAACTGCCTAATTTTACGTATCACAACATACATTGCCTTTTGTGCTTGTTCACATAGGTGTTTTCTTGCTTTACATTATGAACATTACGAGAAAATACAATCCCTAAATAATTAAAATCCTTGACTACTTCTATGATACTGCCATCATATGTAAAAATATTCTTTGGCTGTCTACACTTTGAAAAAATAAGTATCTTTGTTTTCTTGATATTCACACATAATTTCCATTCTTCACAATATTTGTAAAATTCATTTAATGCTCTCTGAAGATCTTCAGCAGTTTCGGCTAGAATTACAGTATCATCGGCATAAAATAAGATAAACAATTTCATATACAAAAACAACTCATCCTGTATACCTTTGCTATTACTAGACAAACCAACAATATTCTTTTCTGTCAAAAAATCTTCGAAGTCATTAATATATAATGAGAATAAGAAAGGCGATAAGTTTTCACCTTGTCGTACACCAACATTACAATTAAAAAATTCAGATGACAGACCATTCATTTGTATTTTAGATTTTATACCACTATACATAATTTTAATAAAAGTAAAACATTTACCATTGACCCCACTTCTAAGAAGTGATCGAGAAATAATCGGCGGCGTAAATCGAAGGTTTTTACAACGCGTGAATCTGTAGTTCTATGCTTTATCTTTCCGAATTTTCTCAAGCAGCTATATAAATTGCATTCAAACAATGTATTATGCAGGGAAAGATTTGAAGTTAAGAATATAAATGGAAATCTTACAAAGTAGATGTTTGCACTCATTACGTATTATATATATATTTCTTTCACTTTTATATTTTTGCACTGATCAGCGATTTTGAAATAATAAGATAAGCCTTTTTTTTCAAATACATATATATTATTTTTTTTTTTTACATATGAATTATATAATGCGTACTATACGTGATTAAAGTCGCAATTAATGAATTCAATTCCAAAAGACATACTTTAAAGGTTTTATTTGTAACTTATGATATTTTTTCAGTTGATGGTGGTTGGTCTGACTGGTCTGCCTGGAGCGAGTGCTATTTTGTAAATGGTATGGATAAAAAATCTAAGACTCGCACTTGTACCAATCCTTCTCCACAACATGGCGGAAAAGACTGCGAGGGGGATGATAAAATAGAACGACCTTGTATTTCACCTCAGTTTGCTCCAGGTTAATATTATAATATCTTGACAAACATTATTTATAACACTAATATACCACTATATTTTATTTTCTTAGGAAAAAGACTTTAATGTTAACCTACCAACAAAGCTTAACAATAAACGTGATATATAACTTCAATTTTTCAATCGTCAACTTCCCTAACGTTTGTAACAATATGTCCATATCGCCTGCATATTGGATTAATGTCTTCCAATTGATTTGAAATTCAAGAGCAGGCACTACGTTAAAAAATTCCAAAATGAGGTAAGCTATTAATTGATTTATATTGTTTAATGTCCCCCTCGAGAATGAGACACCACCACTTGCTGGTGGAAAGCTGCAAACTTTGTCTATACTGGGCACTTATGGCCATTGAGCCGGTAGGGAATTTGTCATGCTAGCACATACTGCTACACAGGTTTTTACGGTCTCATCCGAGGGACCGGTCTTCATGTCCCACAGTAGGATTTGAGCCAGCGACGCAAGGATCAACTCCTTACTTCTCGACTCTCGAGCAGACGCTCTAACCACTACGCAAAGCGGGCGATGGTAAGGTATTTGAAAACATGCTGATGAAACAAGAATATGAACAGTTTCGTTCAAAGTCATCATTTTGCAAGTTCTATGGTCAATACAATGACCATGTCAGTGAATACAATGTATCATTAAGTCAAATGCTGATGAATTTATTTTTTTCACAATAATTGTTAGACCATTAAGTTCACACTGAATTTTCTATTGATTTTCCGTTTGTTTTCTTTTTTATCATGACAAGGAGCAGAAGGCGGTTGTGACTTGTCGACAAGACATGCTTACTACTCAATGACACCTGATACCGCCTCAAATACTTTTTGATATAAATTTATGCATAGATTTTAGACGAAAGAAACATTTTAATATGAATAATGTATATCCTATATCATTGATTGTGAGGCCATCTAGTAACGTATCTTTTGATTAACAAGAAACAAGAAAGCATTTTAGTAACACAATTGATAGATTGAAAAATGGCAGTCAACTGGCCCTAAATTTTTTTTATTTGATAATAATATCATATTGTATTTACATAGGTGGAGATAACAAACAGTATTCAAGCTCAAAAGTCCATTCAAACAATACAAAATATCAATATAAGTTATCAAAGGCATTTAACAAAGTGTAAAATGTGAGCACAATTCATGAACAGTGATTGACTTTTTTATCCAGATTACTACGATTTCTTAAATAGATGCAGCATCCAATGTTTATCCTGTCATTCATATGATAAATCTTTCTTCTATTGTCACCTTCCCTTACTTATGCAGCAATATACATTCATCACCTGCATACGGAGTGTATATATCTCGGTTGATTCGATATGCAAGAGCATGCTCTACGTATGAACAATTTCTAAAACGAAGCAAATTATTGACAAGCAAGTTTATGTAACAAGAATATCAGCAGTCTCGTTTAAAGTCATCATTTCGTAAGTTCTTTGGTCGATACAATGACCTTGTCAGCAAATATAATTTATCACTGAGTCAAATGCTGACTGACGATTTTCATACTAATTGTTAGTCCATTATTTATAGTTACACTGAATTGACAACGGATTTTTCCGTTATTTCCCGCTCATGACAAGGAGCAAACGGCGGGTTTGACCGGTCAGCAGGGGATGCTCACTTCTCCATGGCACCTGATCCCACCTCTGATGTTTTGGAGGTCCGTGTTTGTATTGTTTTATGGACTTTGATGTTGTATACTGTTCGTTATCTTCATATCCTTCTCACAATGTGACTGTGTACTGTGCAGATAATTTCTAATTCGATGTCTATTGATTATAATTGCCAAAGACAAATGCAAAGTAATGACTTTCAGCTTAGAAACCCTATACGTAAGTGACAATGAATACGAGCTTTCTTTATACAGGTACACTGTAGATAAGGGGAAAACAACAGAAAAGTTGACGTCATCACATTGTTATAAATTTTAGTTGTTAGTTTGCCAACAATGTATTTTTAGGTCACCTGAGTAACTCAGGTGACCTATTGCTATCCGTTTTCGTCCGTCGTCGTCCGTCGTGCGTCGTGTGTTAACATTTGAACGTTTTCAGCTTCTTCTCTGAAACCACTGAACCAATTTCAATCAAATTTGGTATACAGCATCTATGGGTGAAGGGAAATTTAAATTTCGAATTTCATGGTCCCCACACCCCTGGGGCCTGAGGGGTGGGGCCAAAACCACAAAAATTATTGCAATCTTTAAAAATCTTCTTCTTTACTCCTGGACATCAAGTAGGCAAACTGTTGGCATGAATGTAATGAGCATTGAATCCTCTACCAAAATAGTGAAATTTATGGCCCCAGGGTCAGGGGTTCTAGTGCTAGGGCGGGGCTATATAAATAATATAGTGAAAATGCATTATTTCTTTGAAAATCTTCTTCTCTGCTCCTGGGTATTAAATAAACTAACTAAGTACATACATGTAGTTATGATGAGCAAGAGTGCCTCTTCCAGATTTGTGAGTTTTATGGCCCCAGGTTCAGGGGTTCTGGTGTTAGAGCGGGGCTCTATTGATTATGTAGTGAAAATGCATTTATTCTTTGAAAATCTTCTTCTCTTCCAAAATTGTGAATTTTATGGCCCCAGGGTCAGGGGTTCTGGTATTAGGGCGGGGCTCTATTGATTATATACTGGTGAAAATGCATTAATTCTTTGAAAATCTTCTTCTTTGCTTCTGGGTATTTAATAAAGTAACTAAGTACATAGTTATGATGAGCAAGAGTGCCTCCTCTAAAATTATGAAATTTATGGCCCCAGGGTCAGGTGTTCTGGTGTTAGGGCGGGGCTATATTGATCAAATACTGAAAATGCATTAATTCTTTGAAAATCTTCTTCTCTGCTTCTGGGTATCAAATAAACTAACTAAGCACATCGTTATGATGAGCAGGAGTGCTTCTTCTAAAATTGTGAATTTTATGGCCCCAGGGTCAGGTGTTCTGGTGTTAGGGTAGGGCTCTATTGATCATATAGTGAAAATGCATTATTCTTTGAAAATCTTCTTTGCTTCTGGGTATTAAATAAACTAACTAAGCACATAGTTATGATGATCAAGAGTGCCTCTACCAAAATTGTGAATTTTATGGCCCCAGGGTTAGGGGTTCTGGTGTTAGGGTGGGGCTCTATTGATTATATAGTAAAAATACATTAAGTCTTTGAAATATTTTCCTCTGCTTCTGGGTTTTATGCCAATGATCCAAGTATACATATTTATGATGAAGGAAGGTGCATCTAGCAAAGTGGTTTTTTTATGCCCCTCTGGGTCAGAGGGGGAGGGGGGTTACATAGGGGGTCACTCAGTGGTTCCTTTGGGATGAGGTGCACAAGTGGGTGCAAGTGGAAGTGCATTTTCTCTTTGTTGCTCTGATCTACCTCTGGGTATTAAGTAAATAGAGTAATCATGCTAAGTTAATAATTATGATAAGCAATGGTGCCTCTTTCAAAATTGTGAATTGTGAATTTCATGACCTCTGGTTTAAAACATGAACCAAATTAGTTGTTACACAATACTCAGGTGACCTATAAGGCCCGTGGCCTCTTGTTTCAGTAAATATCATATTGCATGTTATCTATTTGAAAGCAGAAGGAATACTGGAATGAATTAATTTTAAGCACTTTTTTCTAAAACTAAACTTATTCCTGCACATAAACATGTTTTTATAAATGGTACAAGACAAATACAAACAACTATTTTGACCAATTTTTTTTTGTCCTAGGAAAATCTACTCCAAGATGGCTCCGGCGGGGGAATTATCGGCTGAGAACAAGAACAACTTTTAATAAACGTAAACAATAATCGTCGATTATTTGTTTGCGCTTTTAAAATAATGAAAAATGGTACAACATCGATTCGAATGGAAGAAAACAAATTGATAATTTGGAAAACTTTAAATAATCTTAATGATACTCTTTTTTTCATTGGTTTTCAGAATCTTTTTGATACTGTGATGTATCTGGTAAACCTATGTATCTTTATTTCCGCCATCCAGTGATGTCATAGGTTTTTGCAAAACTGGTATTGATATAAATTCATATCCAGTGGAAATTTATATATCCTTAAAAGAATGTAATTATTTCAATAGGTGCAATGAAAACAAATATTATTTAGAAAAAGAAATTGAAAAATTGAAAAACAATATACTTTACAAATTTTGTTAAGGGCAATAACTACTTCTCCTGATTCTTCAATCAGGCAGTTTTGGATGTAAAAATGTTTTCCCAATATTCCTAATTCAAACATATTTATAAAGTAACAATTATTTTTGTAACTTTTAGCCTCAGACTTATGTATTGAAAGTAAGCACTTTCTTTACTTAATTTTTAAAATAGTTTTTACTGAAATATATTGACTTAAGTTGACTTTATAATATATACTTGTGTTTATTTATGCCTTACATCTTAAAAAAACATGGCAACCTACTCTGTTTTGCGAATATTCATATATTGAACCTTTATTGTTTGAATGAAAATGCATTTTTTTGTTTACTACTTTTAACCCATAAAATTGTGAAGATTGAAATATTTTAATCAAGTGATTTATTTTTTTAAAAATTGAAGTAATATTAAAAAGGTTATTGGAATATGACTCTTACGTATCTAACTACGGTGTCCATGATGAGAAATGAAACGAATATCTTTTTGCTGATATACAATATTGATAGAAGACAATTGCTCCGGCCTTTCTACAAGAAAATATTGAAGTTTTTCCACAAAACAAATATCTTATCTAAGCAATAAACAATGTATAGATTACAAGTGCTACTTCCTCTATTAATTCGTATACGTATTTGGTACCTTTGTTCTGAAATACTTATACATTTATCTGCATTAAATGAGCAAAATAAAAACGTGTTATTTTATTACAATGTGTTATTGTATATTTTTCAAAGTACATGTATCCTGATTTAATTAAGATTTAAAATGAATATGCCATCATAATTAAGGATGACCAAATGATGTTTTAAAACTTGAAAATACATGTTAAAGTACCATAATGCTGTATGTTTGTATCAAACTCAAACACAATAGTCTTATATAGATTCTACTTTGATTTTGAAATAATTACCTACATAGCCTAATCATAAAATCCTCTTGATAGTTTGAAATCCAGCATATTGATAGACTTAAGGGTCCCAAGAAAAGACTAATGTTAAAGTTTCTTAAAATTTGTATTTGTTTTCCATATATAAATTACCAATGTCTTAAATGTTTATCCTTGCTACAAATACAAGTGTGAATTTTAAACACTCTTTTCGAGGAAAACTAAGTAAATATCGAAAACCTGAGACCAAAGGTTTCTTAAATATCTATAGAAAATCAGTGCTCAAAGTATACGAGTGGGTAACGAAAGGTTCGTGGACTAGTGCCATAAAATTGAAACTGCTTTAGATACATCAATGCATTTCAAAACATTTAGTTAGCATCATCTTTTCTTTCTATAGAATAAAACACAAATGATAACTTTAATTTTTTTAAAAAATAAATTAGTATTTTTTGTAAACAGTGGTGTTTCCAGGCGCTGCAACCTCGAACATGACTTTTTTCGAACTTAGTGTTACTGAGGAAAGCTCTTTCGTCACAACGACATCCAAAATTTTGTAAAGAGTGATCAAACAATCAAGGTCTTAAAAATGACATAATAAGGGGGAGTTTTCCCCCAACATTCTATCAAGTTTTGCCCCTTGAAAATTTTGATATAGACCTAGAAAATTCTTTAACTGGCTACAGGGAAGTAAAATGCATTCAGAGTACTTGTTTTTTTATGCTTAAATAGATCCAGAGAGAAAAAGGGATCTGCAGTTAATGTCGAATTTTGGTCAAGGTGTGAAAAGTCAATCACGCCAAAAAATGGCGTTGATCATGTTTGGTACATTGGTAGATACTGAACTCCAAAAGAGCAAAATATGCTGGTATTATCAAGCGAAGATCTCTCCAAGTGTATATATAAATCTATTTGAAATATTATATACATTGAAAGCAGCTGTTCATGACAGTATAAAATATTATAAACTAAACTGGTTTAAGTCCTTACTCAACTCTAGGGATTCTCATCAATGGTGGATATGGAGATAAGGAACATTATTCAATATCAAAGTCCATAAAACAATACAAAATAGGAGCAGAGCAAACACGGACCCCCGAAAACATCAGAGGTGGGATCGGGTGCCATCAAGTTAAGTATCAGAGGCAGAAGTTTTCGGAAGTCATGAAACTAATAAAAACGGCGACAGCGCCGGGTACCGTAATAATATTATTTCATTTTTACTTTATTATAATTTGGCAAATACTGAACGTATAAAGCCATCATTTTCAACATTTCTTTCCTGGTTGTTGTTGTTTTATGTCTCGTATAAATTTTGACAGCACAGACTGCATAGTACTAATTTTATCGCCTCAGATGATGAACTTTTTTTAACCCCTCGTATATATATATATAAAAGGAAGTAAAAATATTAATTATCAAAATACGACCCATGTCAGGGAGTTTGGATTGCTCTTGAGAAACTTTAGTTTTATATTGAACAAATTAAAGTCATAAAGACAAAGGTGCACTCATACACAAATATATTAAAACCTGCTCAAACCGAACTTGTCGTTACCGATGTTTTGACATCTTAATAATCTGATTTTCAAAGCAGTTCATCAAAAAATATATAAGTTATGGCTATATCAAGTATATTGGTCATTTTACGTGTTGCATCTTTGTTCTAAGTACGAATATCTCAGAGAGGACAGCTATCATTTTTGTCATAGGCTACCCTGCCTAGGATAATCAGAGAATGATACAGGTTGAAGCTCTTCAGAGTATAATATTATTACACTAAGAAACCCTCTCTCCTGATCAAATTATATTTACAATTCCCATGACTTTGTCCGAGATAAAATTACAAAAGGTTTTTATTTCAATTTATTATAAGGTTACGTTTCATCGATAGGCGCGGTTAAAACATCACATAACGGGCGGGACAAAGAGACAGAAGTAGGGCTTTTAGCACGTTAATTTGTGGAATCAAGGGCATGTAAATATAAGGAATAACTGTATGATGTTTTGATTTCATGACGATATCAAACGATTTGCGTGATAATTTTATGCATTAGTTAACGCCTCTGGGTTTAAGCAAATTATCACGCAAGTTACTCGACTGATAACATCATGAAACCAAAAAATTAAAAATTTATTCATTAATTGAATACTTTGCTGTTTAGTGAAATGCAATTCCTGAATAAAACTAGCACTTCAATTTTTCAAGTCCAATTGTACACCAAAATTTCAAAGAGATTTTGATATAATTTCATATTTTAGTTTTAATGTTAATTTCCTAATATTATTTATATCTATATTTACTTCAAATCTCAGCTAGCATTCCCGTTTAACATATCGCACGTTTTGTTCCGTTGCTCTACATAACATTAACCCTTTAAAAAAAAGTTTCACCTTAATTGGATGTGTAGATCACTCTCGGACAAAAACTACCCGGAAACAGAATAATAAAAAAAATAACTAAAGCAAATTCAACAAGTAGGTCTCCCGACGAACGTCAGACGTTGAATATAATGTATTAAGAATTTATACCCGAATAATGATAACATTTAGGCGAATTTATGAATATAGTATTAAAACAATAATTTTTGACAATTTCGGATTTCGTCGGTTTAACTTTTCCAGCCTTTTTTAATCGTCACTTCGGACCGACGTCAAAACTCACAAGATCAGAATAAAACCTTCTTTAAAGATATTAAAAAACTAACACGTAATTAAATATCAAGTTATACTATTTCTCATGATATCATAGGAACAGCTCCATTTTTCGACAACTTCCGGTTAAAACCTGAAGTGTTTTCAGTGGATGCTTTTTATTGGCGATCTTCTATGTGAAAAAAAGTACTACATGCTTTTTTCCCAAACTGTTATTCTTTTCAAAAAAATCATTAAATAAAATATGTCAACCGAAAATGATAGATGCAAAATTAAAAGATAATTACATTATTTAAAGAAATGATTTATCATCCCTAAAAAATCATGAATCCATCTTGAGTGATTTACAAGAAAATGCTTAAATAAAATGGCAATTTGAAAAAAGGAAATCTTAATAAAATATTACTTGGATAAATTTTTCCAAAAAAAAAAAATTGCTTGGAGACATTGAAACAATGCATGAAAAAAAATCTTTGAAATCGGTCGGGTAGTTTCCAAGAAATCACGTATACTATTAAAAGGGAATGATAATAATAAAAGGAAACAGAAGAAAAACATAAGATTTACAGAGATAAGTCAGATACCTTTTTAAGAAACAAAGTAAAAACAATACGTTCCCAAACTTTGTTTGGAAAACATAAATATGCCAGACCAAATAAATAAAAGATTTAATAGAAATATGCATGTAAAAATAGCCTTGATCTGAGTTTCCTAAAAGTATTAAAAAATTACTTAGAAAATCAATATATTAATCATATATTATCATATTCATCTACTAAGTATGCTTTTTAGCTATCTCATTTTTGTAATTGATTTAAAATCAGCATGAGATATCCAACGATAATACATTATCAATTAAATTAATGACATGCTTTTACTTTTCACTTATATAACGCCCAGAAAGCCTGTTCCTATTTATTTCTTTTTCAAACCTTATCATCGAAACATGTTAAGAAACAGCGCAAGTCTTCTTCTGCTAGTCGTGGTTAGGTTTTCTTCAGCAACTATTTTAAATCAAGATAGCTTGAACTTAGCTGTCAGGGTAAGTTTATATTTAGTTTTGCAGAAAGGCTAGAAAAATTTAAATGCAATGAAAAAAATTGAAATATTCATAACCTTATGTAAAAATGTACCAATTTCTTTTACGCATGATCGAAGGTGTTTTATTTTCTGTATTTATTTTTTAGAGTGGTGATACTTGTTGTAAGTATTTTATGTCTGTGTTCCTCCTAGTCTATTCAACTACATGTACCTATGTTCTTCTATTTATTTGTATGAATCATCCTTTTGAAGTTATATAATCAGTATATAATCATCCTTGTGAAGTCATATAATAAGTTTATAAAATACTGAAAATAAAAATCAATTTTCTGATTAACCTTTATTAGATATGTTATGAAACTTCTAAACGTAAATAAATTTATTTTTCAAAATTCCATTTATTTTTTTTTTCGTTGAAGCACCTTGTTCCGGCATACAATGCCAAAACTATGGAACGTGCCAAGTGTACGACAACTATCCAATTTGTCATTGTGCACAATATTACATAGGATTCACATGTGGAATTAAATTAGCAGGTATTTTAGTACCATATTTCCAAAGACAAACTGATATGTCTTAATAAATATAAAATACGATTCAAATCACCGTCTAGTTGAATTTTCACCATGATTGATCCTATTTCTATTTGTCACATATTTATTAGCCTTCACACTTAAAGTGTAATAAGGTTTTAATGATAATATTTCTAATAAAACCCGTCAAAAGTCATCAGAAGGACCTGGTAGACTTGGTTTAATTGTCTTTATTTGCATAATATGTATCTATATAACAAAAATAATATATGTAAATTTACATAAGGTACTTTACTTTAATTTAGATTACACCTGCGAGACCTATCTTTGCCTTTTTCAAAAGTCCTTTGATGCTGGCAAAAAGCAAGGGATATGGAAACTGAGACCAAGCGTAAGTCCAAAGACTCGATCAGCAAACACGTTATTTACGTTTAAGTTTATACTTTATTATATATTAGATATGTCAAATGCTGAAAGATAAATTACACCAAAACTAAGATACAAATGTATCGTGTTACTGAGTCAGCATGTACATGTACCTCTCTTTAGAAGTAAAACCATTAGGATTCAGTGATTAATACAAGATGTAAGATTACAATTAAAGTAAAGTTTTTAATTAAGAGAGGAGTCATTTTTGGAAGAGAAAGCATGGATTTGTGTTATCTTAGGGTATAACAATGATATTCACGTCAATTTTACTATTTTTAGTATGTTCATAACTCCATTAACCAACTAGTAGTCATATTGAAGAAGGGTAGCAGTGCAGTTCTATCTACTGGTCACATACTTTGGGGTAAATATTGCTTTACTTGAATCTTTAGTTATTTAAACCTTGTGTGTGTTTAAAATTCGACCAGGAACGCTCATGCTGAAGTTCATTATGCTTTCTGTCTTTTTGTTTCAAGAACATTTATCAAGCATAAGCATAGTTTGTCAAAAAAAATGCCCAAAAAACTGTCTTTTCTAGAAGAAAAATTGTAGCCCTTACTCCGGGCATAAAACTCACGATATCGAGAATGTCAATAAGCCGCACTATCGAGTACGCCATATACACATATTTATAATGGATTGTATTTTAAATTAAATAAACGTTATTTTACTGAAAACAAGAAATAAAGGAATATAATTTCCAAAAAAATTGATTTAAATAATAATCGAAATTTTAGAATAAAAAAATTGCAACAATTCAAGAAATTGCACTTCGCATTGCTAAAAGAAGCTTTTTCTGAATGCTGTTATGTAATTTTTAATTACTAGTATACTTATTAATCGACATATTTCCCCGAATCTTTAATTCCTAAAATTCTTATTCACTAATGTTATTTAAAATATTGATTTTTTTATAATTCCACAGGAAAGTCCGACTACGCCCTAAACTTAAGGGTCAAATTCTTCAACCCAAAATATGCAACAGGAGCAGACAAAATCCTGATTGTTGTGGACTATCCTTATGCAGGGGGTAAAAAGATTGTAAAGGAACTTCGCCGCTCCGATTTCAAACCCAACTATGTCTCCGCTGAGCAGTGTATTCTCATTGACCACAAACCATCCAGGTTTTTTTCGGTCAGTAGATTTTTATAAACAAATGGTGGTTGAATAAAAAAAAATCACATTTTCGGTAGGATGAACATTTACAAAATAGCGACTACGGATATTCAGTATGGAGCGCATTTTGTGCAAAAATATTTTAAGTAAAGTATAAAAAGTATTTTAAACTGCTTTATTACACCTTCAATGGGATGTCGTCAAACATCGCTAAGGGTTTTCTAACATGAGCTACATACCATATGTAGATGATCTGAAGTACAAACCATACAACCTTGCAATCTTTAGAAAATAAAATTAAGTTGGGTTGATAAAATAAAATTGGTCCTAGAATTCTAGGCCCTTATGAACTATTCCAGTTTGAGGGCACAACCAAGCATTTTCGGTGAACTATTAAGAAAACGATATGGAGATAACGAACAGTATTCAATCTCTAAGAAAAATTATTTCAAGTAGGTAGCATCGCTTTTTTAAAAAAGGGAGGGGTAAGAACAGTTAAAAAAAATCGAAGAAACCTTACATGTAAAATAGGTTCCAATATCTTTCATTACTAACTTTTATTCATTAACTACAACATTATCCTATTTAACTCTACTGCAACAAAAATTGGAGAATGGGAAGGGGCAACCAGGCAATGGTCAATGAACATTTTAAAGAGTAAAAAGTTTTTTAAACATTGGGGGAGCAGGTCCCCCTTGCCCCCTGATACTACGTGTCTGTTCCTTCACAGGCCAAAAAAGGTCATCAGATGTGCTTATGTCGGGGAAGAGATACATAAAGTAGCTTAATTTTCTGTAGTTTATCATATATTGCATGATTATATAAGGATGGGGGCTCCACTGCTCCCCTACAGTTCATAAAACCACGAATTTCATATGTCTTTCTTAACAATTCATTCCTAACATCTCAAAAATTTTGTGGAATTCGTTCCCAGTATTTATTTGTCGGAGTAAAGCTCACTCCAGCTTTCAGCGTCACACGTGTTTTGCTTCCAAGTTTTATAACCTACACTGTACAATGCGAGAATGTACTCGACTTCAAACTTCTGATTCATAATTTGAAGCCAAGAAATATAACCACAGATTATTTAGAGCCAAATTCCAAATTTCTCTTTCAAACTAGCCTGAGCCAATGTTTATAACCTTCTTGCAAGATTATTTATATCATTTTCGAGGGGGTCAGAAATACTGTGGTTCATATATAAAGAATATATTTTATCATTTAGTAGTATTACGATTTTGGCATTTGGTATTTTGCGCAGATGTAACATGATATTATATGGAATACTTTTTTGTTTTGAACTTTTTTTTTTGCTTAAAATGCAGACTCGAATGTATCTAATAACCGTTTTGATTGATTACATTACATGTATATCATTTGTTTGTATTAGTTACAGTATTTCATTTTGGCACAACATGGTTTCCATACGTCTTTATCCATAGTCGCTAACAGCTGTAGAAGTTCGCCCAACAGAAAATCAATATATCGTTTAATTACTTGTATAAATGAAAGTTAATCATTATGACTATCAAAGAAAACTACGGTTTTGTGTTAAAAGGACGTGACAGAGTACATCTTTTTTGACTACACAAACTAGTTTTCAAATATTTTTTCACCTACTTGTTTGAAAGGAATAATTGTCAAGCTTCTATTCATTTCTTAATTAAGTCCATTTTTTCAAATCATCCATTTTTTTTAAATTCAGGTGTCCATTATAGTGAAATGTGAGTCTACACAATGCGGAGAGGTACCAAAACATCATCATCACGCAGATATCACCGAAATACTTTTGCAGGGTGTCGTGATCCAGAAAACTGACAGAGGATGTAGTCGAGGATGATGATTTATGTTAACTTTTGCAAGACAGAGAATAAAAAATATGATTAAATATATACTGTCTTATTCTTTGTTAAATGAATGAAAAGTTCTCGAGAGTAATGTTAAACAACATTCAATCGTAAAATACGTACAATTAAGAATCCGTTTTTTGTTATAAACTTACATGTACAATCAATTATATAGTCCGAAAAATCTGACGTTTTCATGGCTTTTTTTTTTTACCATTTTGATATTTTATATGCCAGGAAAATAGTTCAAAGCAAAACTATTATAGAAAAATAAAATTATAAAGGGGTCTTCAACTGGAGTTGATTTTCAAAGTTTTGAAAAAAAAAATGCCAAAATCAGAATTTATCGAAAGCACAATGAAACAGTACTAAAATATCACATTTAAAGAAAATATCACTCCACATTTCGTAACAGGACATGCAAGATTTTAAAATGCACGAAATGAAGACAAATCTCGACAGTGTGATAAAACCTTTTTCAACGGATTATTTATTTCATAAATGAACCATAAAAACTATATTGGTAAGTTCTTTAAGTATTGTACTATTGATAACTTTTATATTTGAAATTTAATTTTAAGTATCTAAAATCATATTACAAAGAAATAAAAGCCTCCGGTTGGATTTTGAATTGCAAAGTTTACGTAATGGCGCCGGTTCTGATGTTTTCCTGGCATGTAAAATATTAAAATCTTAAAAAAAGCCATGAAAACGTAAGATTTTTCGGACTATCAATTATAATGAAACACCAAATAGAACAACAAAAAATTATTTTGTTTTATTTTGATCCATTTAGCTACATTCAACAGAAGAGAAATTAAGAAACAAAACTAAAATACACATTTAAAAAATACGTCCTAAGGGCGTAAACTCAGAATGGTTCTTTTAGAAATAAGATATCATTTTTCACTTTCATTTGAGATTTTTCACCTCCTTCAAGAGGGGCATACGCAATTACATGTTATTGTATGCACCGACAAATACAAACTGATATCGTTTTTTCATAATTGTTTTATGTTTGCAAAATTATAAATAAGGATATTTTATTTCTTATATTTATATTTTACGTTTTTTTCATATTACAGAGAAATACAGGCATTATTCAGACTTAAATTTTGAAATGCAACTTTAAGTAGACTACACGTCATGTGGCGTCACAGTTTAGACCTTAAAAAATTGCTTTTGCAGTTTGCTAAATGAATAAATTCCAAAAATATTCTTTTTTAAAAATTGATCTACAGTCATTTTACCAAACATTCCTTAAAGTCAAAAAGAAAACTAAATGTCTTAATCCGATTGGGATGAGAGGATTCAGGTTAGGTACACTCTCATTTGTCACAGAATTACTGAATAGAAATAGAAAGATTAGAGGGTTTATATACTACAACCAAAATGATGTTTGCCCTACCATTGTATATATAAGGGTCGTTCAATAAGTAAAACAATACTAGTATATACTGTTTATCATAATAAATGTAGAAATATTTAATTTTATTTTTTCACAGTAAAAGTTCTATTAAAGGGCTCTTAATCACAGAAAACCCATGATTTTTTATTGTGTCCTCGCAAAGAAATTGTAAAGTAAGCATGGCCACTACACTGCGCTGAAAAACTGTTTGTAAATTATCTCTGTCAAGAAGTTGAAATAAAGGGTATGGAGATAACGAACAGTATTCAATATCAAAGTCCATAAAACAGTACAAAATAAGAGCAGAGCAAACACGGACCTCTAAAACATCAGAGATGGGATCAGGTGCAATTGAGGAGTGAACATCCCCACCACTTGCCGGTAAAGAGCTGCAAATTTTGTCACCCAGGGCCACTGAGCAGGAAGGAATTTTTTTCGTGCCAGCACCTACTGCGACACGGGACCTCGGTTTATACGATCTCATCCGAAGGACCGGTCTCCACGTTATACGGTTGGATTCGAATCAGCGATGTTAGGATCAAGTCCTTACTTCGCGACTCTAGACCACTGCACAACACGGGCGATACATATATAGTGTATATGTTAAATAGAAAAATCATGGTAAAAAGAAAATAAATAAAATATTTACTGAAATTGATTTAAAGATATATCTGTGGAATATAAACAGGTCGACTTATAAATTAAAGGAACACACTAAATGTCCCTTTTAAATTCAAACAGTTTATTTATAATAAACGCTTTAAAAATCAGAGTTTACTTTATTTTATTTATTTATAGAAGGTAAGCCGATTAGTGCAAGCAGAATGAAAAAAACGACCGTCAGTATTCGACCTAATGATAGATTTTATTTGTTGTCAAGTTGAGTGTATCGACCATAAATCTTACCAATTGAGACTAGACTGTTGATATTCTTGTTTCATCAACTTGTTCGTCACTAACTTGCCTAAATTTTGAAATTGTTCGTACGTAAAGCATGACATTGTTCGTTCAGTATGAAATCATTTAGGAAAGCATAAATGAAATACGTAGGTGAAAAGGTTGTCCATAATATGTGACATTTTCCTGGCATTTGAAAGATTTTCATTTGAAATATTTTACTTGCCAGGAAAACGTCAGTACCGACGTCATTATGAAAACTTGGAATTCAACAAGAGGCGAAATTATAGGGTTGATTGTCGATAATTGCGAACGGAATTAAATGGCAAATTTACAACTTATCAATAGTCCAATACTTTTAGTTCTTACAAATATCCTTTTTATGATTTGTTTATAAAACGATGAAAACATTTTATCTGACTGTCAATATTTAGCGATATTTTTTTTATTTTGAGCTTTTTAAAATTCTGCAATTCCCATATGGAAAAGTGAAGTGATGTTTTCTTTACGTCAACATTGGTTAGTACTAGTTTTAAGCATTGTACTGTTGAAGAAAAATTAGTTAGGCATTTAATTTTGTTCGCAAGTATTGAAAATTTACTCTGGTTTGAGACGATGTAATTTCAGGTTTTTGTAATTATTCGGTTCCGATGTTTTCCTGGCACGTAAAATACCAAAACCATCCAAAACCAAAGCCAGGAAAACATTAGATATATTAGGACTAGTGATAAGGGTACCTGTATTATGTGTCATAAGCAACGGAAGGCGACAATAAAAAAAAACCTAAAGTTATCACGTTTATCATTGAGTGTTGTTGTTGGGCAACCATTTTTTGTAGTAAAACACTAAGTACATGTATCTTATTATGATATATATTTAATTTGTTATCTTTACAGTCCCCTGTGATAAATTGTGTCGACTAATGAATAAAAGTAAGTTTTCTTTAATTGATTATAAGTCGTCTATTTTCCTAACTGGCGAGTAAAAATCCTCAAGACGAGTTTTCTTCTTTTCATGTGTAAGATTTTTAATAAATTCTACTTCATATGACGACCAAAAAGTTCTGTTTATAACAGGGAGCAATCAGTACCTGTAAGGATTCCAACAGATTGCTGGAAAACCTTATCTGAAAAGAAGAAGAAATAAATATTGAATAAATAAATAGATAATATTAAAAAAAATTGTGTTCAATAAGAATATATTTCATAAAAACAATTGTACAAATTACAAGTTAGCGCTCTTTAAAAATTATGACTATGTGTCAAATATGTGTGATTTACACGTATTTCAGTAACTCACACAAAACTTAAAGACATACCTTAAATAGTGCTGAAAAGTCATATGTTTTGATTTTATTAATTTTTACCTATGACTTTAAATTGTCAAAATTTACTTTGAAGTGTTGGAGTGTTTCAGTATTCAAATCTGATTTACACCACTTCTCGAATATACATGTACTGTCGACCAGAATTCCTGTTGTTTCTCTGTCATTGCTAATATTTAACTGAGTAGTTCAGAAGAAGGCTTATTATTGGAATCCATCATAAATTTTTGTTTGTAAGAAGATTTATGACGTTTAGGTATCAAGAACAGTACATTATTAATATATATATAAAGAAAGCTTAAATTTTATTTTCTTTTTTATATTTTAAGAAATAGACGCACTTAATTTTCTACAAATTAAAAACCGATTTAACGTTATGAAGTCAACGAACATCTATTATTGATCATTAGAGCGACTATCATTGCATAAAGAAAATCAGTCAATATGCTAAATCATACATACCAGCATTTCATTTTTCCTTGTCTTTATCTTAACGTTTTACTTAAGTGGTTTAAAAGCATTGTATAGTATTTCTGATAGTATCTTTCCTTCAAATGGATATAATTTATAATTATCTATAAAAATCAATAAAACTACTTTGTTAAAATTATATTTCATTAACATCCGATAAATAGTTCAATAAACGTATTTATTTGAGGTCCTATATATGTAATTTATCAATTTTTATATTCATTTTAGATAGAAAACTTGAGAGAGATGAGACTTGTAGCTGGCATTCTGATTTTGTTCACTATTCCGGTTTCTGCATATGACAGCTGTGGTATGTTATTCTATACATAATTTGTTTTAAATATAGTTTTTATAATAATTATTCAAAATTAAAATTAAAATTATGATATCTTCTTTTGAATTAAGATGGAGATTTACTATATTTTTTTCACAGGTGAATAAAAAAAATATAATGATAATTCATTGTAAATGCGAAGCCGGGTGGTTCGGAAGGAAATGTGAATATTATGGTAATTTGCATGCTATTTTTTTTTTACATACAAGGTTTTGCTTTCTGCAAATATAACTTTTAAACAATCTTTTTTTCAAAGAACTATATGTCGGTATGTTGCATATATTTGCCCCCCACAAAAGTCAAATTTTGAAAACTTCCTGAAATGTGCTGAATTCAATAAATTGTATGAGAAATATAAATTAACAGAACATATTATTGTTTCAAAGTAGTTTATTCACAATTTTTGTTTTTATGACGTCACAAACTAGTCCGATTTTATATCCTTTTTTAGAAAGAGGACAAAATGGACAAAATTTCAACAATTTTAGGTGCAAGTTTGTTGGAACAATGTTTACATATTTCATTGATATTAATACACATTATATCAAAATATTGAGCCTGAACATGACTTTTACTCAAAATATCGACAAAATATGTACATTTTTCTGTAGAATTCATAAAAAACTTTTTACATGGTTTTGTACATATGACGTCATTACTTATGAAAATATTCATAATTTAAGAACATAATTAAATATTTCTCCATCAAAGTTTGGTTTGGGGGGCAAATATCGGTTGTTACCGAATAAAGTTCTTTGAAATCAGCCAGAATTTAACTTTGTGAAAATTTAGAGCATATGTGTCTTTAGAAAAAAAAAACAAAAACACAATACACTTCTAATATAGAAAAAAATAATTTCTTGCTAATAGTATAAATTTTGTTATAATCAAGTTAATCTGTATACATCTACTGGCGAACATTTAAAAAAAAAAGAAATGTATTTCTAAACGATCATTTAATAAAAAGATATGATAGCGTATGTCACTATCAAAATTATTTGAAAAGTAAATGTTTAAGAGAAATCTTGAGATAGATAAAGCTACATCAGGATCCACCGCTAAAAAGAAGGAAAATCAGAGGTATTATCTTTTTATATTGTTTTTTTTTTTCTCTTTATTATATTGAAAATGTGTAAATATTCATCATGTGCATAAATTTATTAATGTTAGCTATTTTAGTATATATATTATTAGTTTATTTATTTTTCAGAGGAATGTTCCAAGAATGATCGATCATGTATGTTTTATGGCAGAATGCAGGGACAGGCACACTTAAACGAAATAAGTGTAAGATTTTTTATGAATATACTAGTATAACGATAAAGGTAACATGTTTGAGCAAAGGATATTTGATTTTTTCATTAGGGCGACACCCATTAATCACTTGAATAAGTTGCACTATTAAACACATATTTTTTATATAGCGGTCTATAGCATTTGAAAGTGCAAAAGGCGGAATTTTCTTGGCAACTACAAAACCTATCTTTATTGGTAAGATTGCACACTTCATACAGCGATTCGTATATTTACATTATTAGCTAAAAGCATTTCCTTTGAAAAATTAAAGCAAAAAAACTGTAATCGAATGTTTCATAGAAAATGATATTAACATTTAAGCCCAACCGTTCCGTTTGATTCTGACCTACACATTGGCTGCTAATCTCCTGAATTACCACCCCAAGGTCATATATTACTCTCCATATGACTTTGACGCCTTGGAACTATTGCTGAGGGCCTGTTCGGAAGATAAGGATGGCTTTTGTATGTTTAGAGAACAAAAATATTGCACAAAACCTTCTCCTCGCAGCAACATGTGCAGCTATAAGAAGATGGATTACTATGCCTATTATCCTCGAAATTACTCTGACAAGAAAAGAGTAGTCTGTATCGATATTCGACCTTTTCGAGGAAAACGTTTCATTGAAGTAAGTACACTTTTTTCAATCTTATGTTATAATGCAGTATGAGCATTGGTTTCCTTAGTTTCTCATGGGGTCAAATTTTGTTTTGTTTTAGTGAATAATAAATGATTAGTTGAAGAAAGGGGAAGTTTTTTCTATAAATAACAGTTGGCATTCAAACTTTTCTTTTGCCTTAATTGAAATAAAACTAATATTTTTAAAACTTATCGTGACACGATTAGCACTTTACCATTCTGGTTTGTATCAATGTTAACGGTCTTTCAAAATGTCTTTATAAGCATCTGATTATGTTTTTTGTAATTTTCAGATTGGTGTCAAAGCAAGTTGCAATAATCCAAATGGGTGTAGCTTGTATAAAATTGGAGCAACTACAATAAGATTTTCCATAAAAGTTGAACCTGGTACGTGTGAGAATTTCAATATTGTTCACTGAATACAAATGATATGTGAATAAATAAATCTTTTTAAACTTTCATGATCATCATATTTCAATGAAATTATAAAGATCAAACTTGGGATTGAATACCGTATAAGCATAATTTTTAGCGAGAATTATATATAAATTTTGGAATTATGAGCGAGGGTGCCCTGATCGCTAAATTTGAATATCGCTAAAAATTAATTGCGTTTTATTTATAATAGCTACTTTAATGTGCATTTTAAAATCGTTAAATTAACATTTCGCTAAAAATAAATTACCAGTTTTTAAGAACAAATCGCTAAATTTGCGTCTCGCTAAATTTTCCACTTAAATTAGATTATATTACATGATCAGTACGTATTGGTCCCTGCTGACAAAGCAGGTAACAACATCGTCTTTGTCTGTAAGGATCATTATTTATACTGTATTGTAGAAGTAATTGGATTTAATTCAACAAGCGTTAATCCACTTTTACTCATAATTCCCTTTCCAAGGAAGAAAATTACACATGTCAGTTTTGAATATGTTTAAAATCCCAAAGATCCAAAATGAATTTTAACTTTCATATATATATTGGATTCCAAAACTTTATAGGAATCCTTACAAACAAAGATACATAGCGGGTTCCAGTAAATGTTCAACCAGTCCTCTTTCTTTACTCCTCATTAAGAGATAAACAGTAGTAAAGGAGAAACTTAAAGAGTACTGTGTAACAATATAATCAAGAAGTGATGTTAGTTATTCAGATGTGGATACTTCAAAATTTCAAGGAACCTTTGGACAATTTGAATTCACAAGATTCTTACCAAAATTTACAGCTATAAAACTTACGACTTCAACTATATACAGGCTTTTTATACCATTGACAGCTTTTTTTCAATAAAAATTGAGCTTGTAAATTTACTTTTCTCGTTATCGGTCATTTGCAAAATTATTATTAAAAAAATTCTGACTTTTCACAAAAGTACTATAAAGGTGACATAAAAAATATGCTCGATTTTCTGATTGACAATAACTATGTTCTTTTTGGAGAGAAGGTCTTTCAACAATCCATATTTACATTATTTTTCTGATGACTTGCCATAAATTTACGCCGTTCAACTGTCATTTTTAAAACAAAACAGTGTGCACTATTTTTTTTTTTTTACTTTTTGACGTCAAGAGCGGTATTATGACGTAACAATGGAGATATTCATGCTTATTCGTGATACATACCTAATGTAGTTCATGAGAAAATATACTGCATTTTATTTTGTAAAGAATCATAGGGGAAATTTATTGGAAATGTAAATATATGAGCATAATTTGTGCAAAATCTTATGGGTGAAAAGAAGAAAGGACGACGTACTGTCGATTAACAATGGTGATGTTCACTCTGATGTCGATACGATATATCCTTGTCAGCTTGAGATAAAATTTACCACAGAGTCTGACACATCTGTTTCATATTTGGGTATTTAACTTTACTTGAAAAAGACCTTAATGGTAATTTGAGAACCAAGCTCTATGATAAACCTGATGACTTTATCTTTTCTACTGTGAACTTCCCTTACTTATGCAGCAATATACCTTCATCATCTGCATACAGAGTTTATATATCTCAGTTGATTCGATACTCAAAATCATGTTTTACGTATGAATAATATCTAATACGAGGTAAATTACTGACAAACAAATTAATGAAACAAGAATATCCGCAGTCTCTTTTAAGGTCATCATTGCATAAGTTCTATTAACCTTGTCCTTGTACAATTTATCATGGCGTCAAATGCTACATTATGTTTTTCATAATATAATTGTTAGTCCATATTTATACAATGTTATTCTCCGATCATTACAAGGAGCACACGGCGGATGTGACCTTTCAGCAGGTAACGCTCACTCCCCCATGACATCAAATCCCGCCTCCAATGTTTTGGAAGTCGGTGTTTTTTATGCGCCCGAATCGAAATTTCCGAGGCGTCTGTTGTTTTTGTCCTGTCTGCCTGTCTATCTATTTGTCTGTTTACCTGTTTGTCTGTTTGTCTGCAAACTTTTACCTTCGCCATAACTTTTGAACCATAAAAGATAGAGACTTCGTATTTTGTATGCATACACCACTGAATAAGCTCTTTCAAATGACATCAAGGTCAATGACCTTGTGACCTTGACTGTGACCGATATGCTAAATATAGCTTTTTGTCGGCAAACTTTAACCTTAACCATGTATTTTGAACGGAGAAAGATAGAGACTTAATATTTTGCATGTATACTCCACTAAATAAGCCCTTCAACAGGACACCAAGGTCAATGGCCTTGTGACCTTGACTGTGTCCTATATGCTAAAAATAGCTTTTTTGAACCTTCACCATAACTTTTGAACCATGAGAGATAGAGACTTCATATTCTGTATACATACTTCACTTATCAAGTTCTTTTAAATGACACCAAGATCAATGACCTTGTGACCTTGACTGTGACCTATATGCTAAAAATATGTTTTTTAACTTTGTTGCCGCCGAGTGCATAGTGTTTCACAAACACATCTTGTTCTATTTTTTGTATTGTTTTATGGAATTTTTGATCTTTAATACTGTTTGTTATTTCCACATTTTTCATAAGAATTATCACCGTTGAACCCAAATAGTTACTTAAAGAGCTTATGCTACGCAATTTCCATGTAATCACAAATGCTAGCTTGTATAGTGCTTACATTCTGCAATTGAAGTACCCAAGTATGGACTTGCTTAAAGGTCATAGGAAACGATTCCTAACATAATAATTTCATAATTTCACTTTTTAAACCCAAAGATATAAGAAAGAATGTTAAATTACGAGTAGTTATATTTTCTGGCCTTTGTTCTGTTGTGAAATAAAGATAAATAGTATTCCACTTGTTACTTTTCCTACCAGCTTATCGTTCTTGATTTTCTGGTTTAATGACGTCACAAAGGCCCACTGATGCAAACGGATCATTGGACATATTGTACATTTACTTTATTTTATCAAGATAATTATATTTCAATTTTGTGAATATAAACGCGTGTCTGTGTTCAGGTAAGTTATATGGTTTCGTAGTTCCTTTATTTCAGTTTGAACAAGTTGTTAATAAATAACGGCAACTGAAAACTGGGGTTTTCTTCGGAAGATGATCCTGATGAATATCCTATATCAATTACCCTTTTACCCTCCAAATATGATTACTTACTCTATATAAATCAAAACGTCAGAAACAAATTATACCATTTTCCATGTTTAATACAAAATCAAGAGGATTTCATCGTCTTTTGAAGAAAAGAAATATTAAATGTCCTTTTTAAATCCAGAAAAATCGCAAAATGCAAGAAGAGAATGATGTATTAAGATAAACATATATCAACCTACAATAGAAATTTAATTAGGCCTAAGAAATATAAAAGGAAAACAAGCATGTAGAGAATATCTCTCCTGTATGCTCCAAAAGTAAACACGTGAACCAGTGGTATTGAAGTCTATGATAAGCGTGTACCACTTAAAATGTCAGCATGTTTAAAGTTTCGTATTTTCTGATCTGAAAGACACATATTGCTGCAATATCGATACAGCAGTAGAATCCCTGAGCATATGACATGATCCATAGGCGTAGTCACAGGGGGGGCAGCGGGGGCACTAGCCCCCCCACTTTTAGATCTGGGGGGGCAAGAGTATGTCTGTGCCCCCCCACTTTTTAATGAAGAACAAAATCACAGCTATTTTTCCCCAACATTACCTTTACTATAGGAAAGTATAGTTATATCGAAGAATTGTGGGAGAAAATTGGAATTGAAAGTAACTTGTCTTTGAAAAAGTTGCCCACTCCCCCCCCCCCCCCCCCCCCCCCCCCCCCCACGAAATAGGATTTTCGACTTTGGGGAACTTTCAATTTCTCCTTTTTTTTTTTTTTTTTTTTTGCTTGTCAAAGAATTTCTGGAGTTGAGCCCCCCACTTTTAAGAACTTTCAATTTCTCTCTCCTTTTTTTTTTTTTTTTTTTTTGCTTGTCAAAGAATTTATGGAGTTGAGCCCCCCCACTTTTAAGTTTGGGGAACTTTCAATTTCTCTCTCCATTTTTTTTTTTTTTTTTTTTTTTTTCTTTTTGCTTGTCAAAGAATTTCTGGAGTTGAGCCCCCCCACTTTTAAGTTTGTGACTACGCCTCTGTGATCGTATTCTCGTACAGAAAGACAATACATTATTACGAATACTAATAAGAATTCGAAGAAATTAATTTTAAGCTCAAAGCAAATGAGATTCTTACAATACAGTGAAATTGATAGGCACTGCTCTTTGAAAAAGACTGTCAAAATACTTGTAAAAATACGGTGTATGCCGTATTTTTTTTAAACTTTACTAAATTGAAAAAATTCAATTTCTTATCTATTCTTTAAATCCTTATTTCATACATTTCATATATGTAATTCTACTTAATGAAGCCATGATATATTTCTTTTTTTTCCCTCGTAGACTATGACGTATTTTGTTGGTTTATTCATTTATTTTCTTTTAAGTCGCTTGCACTAACCAACACATAATATACAAGTTTAATTTGTTTAGTTCTTGTCCTAGTTGTTAAAAACCATCTGAGAAAATATTAAATTTTGAAAAAAATCTTTAACAAAAAGTATGGAAAATAGAAAATAATGGGGGGGGGGGGGCGTAGAGTGAGAAACAGGAGGTGGGATAGAGTGTTGTTCATTAATAAGTGAATATAAATAAACGTTGTCAAATAATTAGAATTGAATTGATTGAATAAAACATTAACACATTAAAAATTTCATGTTTAACTTCACATTTAAAAAAGTAAAAGCTACAGGTCCTACCTTTCATAAAGGTAGCGCATTCACTAGGTCTATATTATCCAGAAATAATTGACCACGCTCTTGATTATAAATACAATGTTGTAAATAAATGCCCTGCATATAAAAGTGAATTCTCTCATCTTTCTCTCTTTCGATCGCTTTTATCCTTTATCTCAATCGGTCGAAGTGTCAAACGATGAGAGTAATCACTGACTGATAC